GGAAGTGTCACTGCGTTGATTTTCTGTCGTAGTGGTTGTGGTTCTTTGGTTGCTTGCTCCGTTGATCTGATTGTAGTGTCCTTTGAGGTCTTTTGTGCTTTGGTTGGTTGCATTACTTCTTCCGGAGTTAAACGTCTTAGTGTTTGTCGAGGTGGTGCTGGTAGTGGTGGATGTTGTTGTCCGGTTGGTGAAGTAGCCATAGGACTATCCGGTAGTGGTCGTGAACTTGACGTCGATGTAGACGGAAGGCGTGGAGGTGGTGTAGCGCGTTGTTGTTTTGTTGCGGGTTTCGCAACGATGTCAACCGTCGCGTTCGTCTGTTGTCCGAAATCTTGCGTGGCCCTTCTTTTCTCTGACGGTTGTAGTTGCGTGTCCAACAGTGTTGCAAACGATGGGTTGTAGGTGTTCCGTCGTGGTGCCCATGGTGTGCCGGAAACTTTGTTCAACAGTGCGAGGTCGTATTTGAAATCCGGTTGTAGTCTCCGTACTGTTCGCACCTTTTGTACGCCTGATTCCGTTGCGACGTAGTTTTCTCCGGTTTCGGAAACTTTTCCGAGCCAGATGCATTTCTGCATCCGTAGGTCTGCTTTTGGAAGTTTCTTGTGTTGTTGTGGAAGATAAAGTAGTGTCTCGCCAAATTCGCAGATTGCTCGCTCGTAGTTTCTTCCCCAGCGGCGTTCAAAGCTTGTGTAGCCGTCTGAGTGGATGACGTAGCGATTTACCGTCCATGCTGCATGTCGTACTATCCAAGCTAGTAGTACGGTAGTAGACAGTGCTTTGTGGACATCGCCATGCTGTAGTTGCTTTCAACCTGTGCTTTGACGACGCGTGCCTGTCCGAGGAGTGTTCGGTGTAGTCGCTCAACACTTCCTTGACTGTTGCTGCTGTAGGAGGGTGCGTGCCTAACAGTCATTGAGCCGACTTTGGCTGCTGTAGCTTTTAGAAGTGCGTTGACTGTGTCTTCGTTGTCGCTTTGTAGTATGCCTTGTGTTCTTCCGCACTCAAAGATGAATGCTTGTAGATTGTTGACCATGTAGTCCATCATTGATGGTTTGTCCGGGACCAGTACTGCCATACACAGTTGTGTAGTAACATCAACTGCTGTCAGTACTGGTTTTGTCTGTGGGTCTTGTTGTGATTTGATGTAGGCGAAGTCTACTTGAATGACGGGTTGTCGTGATTGTTGTTTCTTGTAGTTGTCTTGGCGTCCTTTGCCTTGAACGCAAACTGGACACCAGTTTCTGTATGGTAGATGTGTAAGATTGTGTTCTGCTATTTGTTGTGGAGTGGGCTGCTGTGGTTGTCGTAGTCCTCTTGCTCTGTGTGCTTCATGATGCTCGTGTTGTTGTTCCTCATCGTGGTTCTCCTGGATGTACTTGTAGTCTTTCTTCATGGTGAACCTTGTTGTTCCTTTCCATTGAAATGGTAGTGCTGCGTTGCCCATGACTGTCCAGTCATCTTTGCGTTGTGAAACTTCTCCAAAGTTGTTGTGAGTGATTGTAGTTCTGTGAGGCTCAAGTGTGTTGATTGGTGGATGTCCTGGTCCATCTGTTGGAGTGAATAGGGTTGTTCTAAGTGTTGTGTGGTGTCTTATCCAGTGTTCACCTTGTCTTTCCCAGTAGTCTTGGTTGTCCTCCTGTGCTGTGAGTGGTCTGTGGATTGTCTCCTTTGGTTGTGTGGTGTCAAGATTTGTAGAAGGTGCTGCTTTAGGTCTCCATATCTTTTGTGGTGCTCGTAGTTGGATCTTTGATCTGGTTGGTGGTGTGTCCATTAGCCGTTGTGGTTGTGAGCTCTGCCTTGTTGGTGCGGTCTTTGATGTTGCTCTGCGTGTAGGTATTATCTTTCTTCTGAATCTGGTTTCTCCAGTCCAGTTGTCACCTTCTGGTCTTCGTTGTAGTTCTTGCTTGGAAAGTTGTGTTGGGTTCTCTTGTAGTTGTTCTTGCTCTTGCCCTTGTCTGTTGATGATGGTTAGTCGCCAATCATCTAGTTCTCCTTCTGGTATTGGGCAACCACTGTTGTGTGGTGAACAATGCTTTGCGTGGTCGTTTGTGTACTCTGACGGCGTAGCCACCATCAAGTTTCCAGTAGTCAGTGTTTCCACCAAGGATCTGTCGCAGTCCTTGGTCTGTGTGTGTGAGTGGTGCAATTTGTTCTTGTTGTTGTTTTGCTTCCTCTGTAGGTTGAATCACAGCAATGGATTTTCCATTGTCTGTGTCATTGGGTAGATGTCGAATCCTGTAAATATGTCGATCTTCTCTGCTCGTAGGTAGAAAAGTCCTGAGTGTCTTATGAGGTGTGCTTGTTGTTGCCCATGTGTGGTGGTGCAGTGTCGTGGAGTGAAGTCGAGTCCATATCCTCTATCAAGTAGTCTTGAAGCACTGAGGATTGGATACTTCACATCACAAACGTAGTAGGGTATCCTGATGCTGAAGTTGTCCTGCTTGTAGGGAACATACTCGATGCCGTAGACAGGAATCTTCTTGTTGGTAACCGTGTAGAGTTGTGGAACTGATTCTCCACAAGGTCGTAGCGGTAGGTCTGGCGCGTAGTCCTTCGGGCAAACATGTGTAGATGCTCCTGAGTCGATCAACAGGTGGCGGTATGACTTGAAGTTGGAGTACATGATGTAGCGTGTGGTAGTGTCCTCAATCTTCTTGTTCCTTTGCTGTTGTGTTGCTGCTGCTATGTCGAAGTGTAGCTGTGTGGTGTCTTCTTGTAGGAATTGTTGAAAGCTCTTGCTGTGATCGTTCCATGATGTTGTGTGTGTTGTTTTGTTGCGAAGTAGTGACTTGGATTTGTGCTTGTGTAGTCGTGACTTTGCTTGTCTGATGTGTCCAATGGTGAGGTGTGACTCGTTGATGCCCCCAATGTAGTTTGCTGTGTCCTCATAGCTGTTGTCATTCCAATCCCAGCTGTTGTCACAGTCCTAGTCGTTCCAGTTCTCCTCCATGTTTACCTCGTGTTGTCCTTCTTCTCCTTCGTAGTACCAGTCCCAGGTGTCGTTCACATCCTGAGGTAGTTCTTCATTGTTGTCATGATCTGCTTGTTCTTGTTCTAGTGGATGTAGTTCTTCTCCTTCTCCTATGTGCCATACTGGCACTCTGCAGTCTTGTGTCCAGTGGCCAGGCTTGCCACATCGATGGCATGTTGTGTAGTTGTTGTTTCCTTTTCCTTTTGATTTGCTGTAGTTTCCTTGGCCTTTGTAGCCTTTGCTTGATCCATATACTTTGGATCCTGAGTAGCCTTTTAAATTTCCTTTGCTCTTGTTGTATCCTCGTTTGTTGTAGTTTCCTTTGTTGCCTTTGTCGAATCCTTTGTAGTGTCCTTTACTCCTGTACTTGCCTTTGCTTTTGCTTCCCTTGTAGTTGCCTTTTCCTTTTCCTTTGCCTTTGTAGTTTCTTCCTTTCCTCCATATGTTGTCAACATCCATTGGTGCAGCTCCTCCATTGTAGTTTGTTCCTACTGCTGAAATCGATCTCGAGAAGGCTGAAATCGTCTTGTAGTAGTCCAGGATGACTGCTCTGATCTCGATGTAGTTCGTGATCTGTCCAGCTCGCAGTTGGAGATGTTGCTGCAGTGCTCCTTTGGTTTTGTTGAGTAGTATTGCTATTTTGATTCCATCTATCTGGTAGTGCTGTGCCGTTGTCTTTCTCGTAGCGGTTGATGTCGTATTCCCATTGCAGGAATTGTTCTTCAAACTGCGCTTCGTTGAATGTAGGTTCCAGTAGTTTGGTAAGGTAGCCAACGCTTCTTGTTCCTACTGGTAGGCTGAACCTGTTGTGTAGGAGCCGCAGTGTTGCACATCCGTTTGCGTTTTAGCGGTTTTGCCTTACTACTGTAGCTGCTGCTCCCTGACAGATGTTGATGAGGATGTAGTGTAGATCTCTGGAGAGGTCTACTGCTTTGCTGGCTTGTGTAGGGTCGAGTATGTGTGTTCTGATGTCTGTGTCCTCAACCTAGAAGGCCATTTCCAGCAGCTGTGGGACCATGTCAGAAGTCTCGGTCTGGCTTATGTCGGCGTATTGCTTAGAAAGCCGAAACAAGTCATCCTTCTGGGATGGTCAATGCGGAACAGCTGGTAGGCAAGTTTGTAATTCATGTAGTCTCTGAAACGCCGTTGTTCCTTGTTCTGTTCTACTCCCGTGAGTCGCGGTCTTTATCAGGTCTGCTGTTGGCCCGTTTCTCTGCTCCTGTGAGTTTGTTGTGCTGAGGTTGATGCCAGCTTCTCCTGGACATGTCAGAGAAGTTTAGTCGATCGTTGTTGCTGTGGTTGTGGTACTTACTCGTTTACTGGCTTCCCATGCTTATGATCCCGTGCCCGCCTGCCTTGTTAAAATTGGTTGCTACTTTTACTTACAAGTGCAAGTGCTGTAGTGTTCAAACAAACAGTCAACCAATGTAGTCTGCAGCTGCCAACCTTTTGACTCATGCGATGTAGTGAGCTCAAGGCCTGCAGTAGTGAACATACATGCGACACAAATGCAGGAAGTGAAGCATGTAGTTTGACATCTGGTGTATGTTTGCTACTCTCTTGTGCAGGTGTGTCATCCAGACTCAGTCGTTTGTGATAGAAGCGGAATTCCAGGGGTTGTTATATTGGTTGTTGCGTCTTGTTGGGATCGGGGTTGTTGGTGCGGTGTTTGTGTTGGTGTGTCTGTGTTGGCATACCATCTCGTTTGGTTGCTTCTGGCGGTGCGAAGCCGCCTGCGTGTGTGAGTTTTGGTGGTGCTTCGGCAAGCTGAGTGCCGAGTGTTCAGCTGGCCGTGAGTTGGGTCCGGTGCTGATCGCACCTGAGAGTACAGAATGGCTGGCTTGCTGGGGTGTCATTGCAGGCCACGATTGGAACAAACGAGTCACTTTCAAATGCACTGCATGTTTGCTCGTCGCATTCAGTCAATCTGAGATGCAAGAGGATGCTGGGACTGTTTGCATGATCTTAAGCCCAAATAAGGATGGTTTGGAGTGGCTGAACCTCATTGCGATCGTCAGACTTGATTGAGAAGTGGCGTTTTGGCTCAGATTGAGTTGCAACAGCACCTCGGATCACTTTGATTTCCATAGGTCTCCCGGCGCTGAAGCTCGCCAGCTCTCCCATGAACTCAAAGGCGGACAGCTTTGCGAATCGGTTTCGCTTGCGCGTGTTCAATTTCGTTTGCTTGTATTTGTTGTTCTTTTTGCAGACCTCGTCGTCCAAACAAAAAGACTGCTTGCTAGGAAGCGCAGCTTCACACTTGCCAGGTGATGGCTGACTGCGACCGCTAACGTCGACACAGCGGGCATTGGTGCAACACATTTTGCGTTGGAAGTGTGGCATTGGTCGCATCGAAGGTGCGGCTGGCCCCGAAATGAGGTGATGACAGACTTGAGTCCCGACGCGCCGAATGGTCAGTGTGCCTAATGTGTCCAGGGATGTCGAGGAGTGCGTCCGTTCACCAAATACCAGCCTCGAATCTCTAGACTGTACCAGTGTAGTCTGTACCCTCCCTTGAACTATGGCATCAGAAGTTAGACAGCCTGAGACAAAAGCCTGAGACTGCCTGAGGCAGCCTGAGACTGCCTGAGGCAGCCTGAGAGTGCCACACCTTTGCTTGTGATGTCTAAGCCTTTGTTGTCGCTGATGAGCAACTCTTGTGCCTCATGGGACTTTGAGCGATTGCGCTGCTGGGCTGCGTTGCTGGGTTTCAGCTCCGGCACAAAACCAACCTTGTCAGCACGGCTCGTCAAAATGCGGGGTGCAACGTGCTTTGGAGCATCGATGAGACTCCGAATGAATGTTCGCCTCAGCAAGCTGTTCCGGCCAGATGGCCTACCGCTGCCTCAGTGCCCAAAGACATGGGAAAGATAACCCACAAGTATTTGTTCATGAGAAAATGCTACCAACACCAATTGCGTCGGTGAGCACAGCAGCCGCAGCTTTCAGCAGAAGAAGCATGGATGCGCTTTCCATCGCCTAAAAGACTGGCCGAGCCGATTAAGCCCGTCGCTTCCGCAAAGCCAAGCGACTACGAGGCAGTTGAAGAAGAATTCCTGGGTGTCTTGGGATCTTCGACAGGTTGTCTGCAGGTCACGCAGGCTTTGCGTGTGACTTGAGTGGCTGTGTCATTTGCAAGTGAATAGCCTCAGCCCGGTAGAGCCTACCCAGATGATCTCAAGATGCTTAGCGGTGGCGCAACAGAGCTGAAGACAAGATCGTGGAATGCTCGGCGAGTGTCATCAAAGGTAGTCGGCATGGTTGGCATGACTGGCAGGAGGCCTTGAGATTTGTCCGCAGCTTGATCTTTAGAGCTGTAAAGGCAGTCACGAGAACAGCGTGCTCCACTGCTGGGCACTGAAAATGTCTTGTGAGAGTGCCGCGCTCTGCAGTTCTATCCCAAGTGTCAGAACCTGGTGTGCGTTGGCCATATGTTCACATGCGGATGCGTGAGAGTACGAGACATCTCATGCAAAACAGGATCGCGTTTTGTGCAGCGCCGAGCTGGAACCCACTTCGAAAGAGGGCTTTGCCTGCAAATTAGTCGCCACTTGGCCGCGTTCCCAGTAACTTCGCGGGTGAGCGGGTGAAGGCAAGGAGACTCCAGACCTTGCCTTGAGCTCGCACGCGAGCCTCAGAAGGTGAGTAATCCGTGCTCCTGCAGAATGAGACAGCCTGAGACAAAAGCCTGAGACAAAAGCCTGAGACAGCCTGAGGCAGCCACACCTTTGCTTGTGATGTCCATGGCGAATTGCACTGCCAGCAAGTTGGCCTCACGCACAGAACATGCATGACATTTCAGTGGCAGGACGCCTCCGTGCTGAACACTCGCCACCGGGGAATGAGTTTCCTGGCGTGCGACCCCAAAACCCTGAACTCGGACTTTCTTCCATTTGGTGCCAGGCGGCTGTGATAGCTGCGAATCCTGCTAGAGATGCTTCTTTTTTTGGAGTTGGGCTAAGTTGGTTCCGTAAGCTGCTGGAAGGACGTGATACTCAGACACGTGCCGTGACGCTCCGAGTTGGTCGGTGTGTTCGGAACCCGTTGCGCATTTCCGCGTCGCTGATGAGCAACTCTTGTGCCTCATGGGACTTTGAGCGATTGCGCTGCTGGGCTGCGTTGCTGGGTTTCAGCTCCGGCACAAAACCAACCTTGTCAGCACGGCTTGTCAAAGTGCGGGGTGCAACGTGCTTTGGAGCATCCATGAGACTCCGAATGAATGTTCGCCTCAGCAAGCTGTTCCGGCCAGATGGCCTACCGCTGCCTCAGTGCCCAAAGACATGGGAAAGATAACCCACAAGTATTTGTTCATGAGAAAATGCTACCAACACCAATTGCGTCGGTGAGCACAGCAGCCGCAGCTTTCAGCAGAAGAAGCATGGATGCGCTTTCCATCGCCTAAAAGACTGGCCGAGCCGATTAAGCCCGTCGCTTCCGCAAAGCCAAGCGACTACGAGGCAGTTGAAGAAGAATTCCTGGGTGTCTTGGGATCTTCGACAGGTTGTCTGCAGGTCACGCAGGCTTTGCGTGTGACTTGAGTGGCTGCGTCATTTGCAAGTGAATAGCCTCAGCCCGGTAGAGCCTACCCAGATGATCTCAAGATGCTTAGCGGTGGCGCAACAGAGCTGAAGACAAGATCGTGGAATGCTCGGCGAGTGTCATCAAAGGTAGTCGGCATGGTTGGCATGACTGGCAGGAGGCCTTGAGACTTGTCCGCAGCTTGATCTTTAGAGCTGTAAAGGCAGTCACGAGAACAGCGTGCTCCACTGATGGGGCACTGAAAACGTCTTGTGAGAGTGCCGCGCTCTGCTGTGTGTGTCCTAAGTGTCAGCCCCTGGCGTGCGTTGGGCATTGCGAATTGCACTGCCAGCAAGTTGGCCTCACGCACAGAACATGCATGACATTTCAGTGGCAGGACGCCTCAGTGCTGAACATTCGCCACCGGGGAATGAGTTTCTTGGCGTGAGACCCCAAAACCCTGAACTTGGACTTTCTTCCATTTGGTGCCAGGCAGCTGTGATAGCTGCGAATCCTGCCAGAGATGCTGCTTTTTTTGGAAGTGGCCATGTACAACCGCTATGCATTGCAGCACGGTGACTAGCAAAGGAGACGTTCCACCTGGACTGACGTCCTGTGTCAAAATTCTTTTGAGGGGCCATGCTCCCAGCCAGTCGTTTGCCTCGCATTTGCGTTGAGCGGCATATTTTCAGAGGCTTTGCACCACTGGCGAACTCTTTGTGTTGTCTTGGATTTATTTGCGGAGCGCCTAGGGGAACATTTTCTTCTGAGCCCCTGCATTTCTGTCTTAGAGCCTGTCATGCTTCTTCCAAGATCCGTGCGAGACTCTGACACCTGCAAGCTTTTCAGCAAGCTTTCGTGTCTCTCAGGATTCCGGGCTGAGAATACCACGTGAGGGCGCCAACGTTGTCTCTTTGTCCTTGGCAGCGCGACAGCGCGGCTTGAGATTTGCTGCGGTGGCCGCCAGCGCATTGAAAGCATGAACTGCGGCTCCGATCTCATGACGTGATTTGGGTTGTGCTTTCAGCTTGCAGAACAGTGCCCGCCTTTTCACAGAACACACCGTTACAACTATCACATCCAGGCCCGTGCAGCGTGCCTCATGTTGCTTGAATTTGCTGTGACCAGGCGCAGCTTTCAGCAGAAGAAGCATGGATGCGCTTTCCATCGCCTAAAAGACTGGCCGAGCCGATTAAGCCCGTCGCTTCCCCAAAGCCAAGCGACTACGAGGCAGTTGAAGAAGAATTCCTGGGTGTCTTGGGATCTTCGACAGGTTGTCTGCAGGTCACGCAGGCTTTGCGTGTGACTTGAGTGGCTGCGTCATTTGCAAGTGAATAGCCTCAGCCCGGTAGAGCCTACCCAGATGATCTCAAGATGCTTAGCGGTGGCGCAACAGAGCTGAAGACAAGATCGTGGAATGCTCGGCGAGTGTCATCAAAGGTAGTCGGCATAGTTGGCATGACTGGCAGGAGGCCTTGAGACTTGTCCGCAGCTTGATCTTTAGAGCTGTAAAGGCAGTCACGAGAACAGCGTGCTCCACTGATGGGGCACTGAAAACGTCTTGTGAGAGTGCCGCGCTCTGCTGTGTGTGTCCTAAGTGTCAGCCCCTGGCGTGCGTTGGGCATTGCGAATTGCACTGCCAGCAAGTTGGCCTCACGCACAGAACATGCATGACATTTCAGTGGCAGGACGCCTCAGTGCTGAACATTCGCCACCGGGGAATGAGTTTCCTGGCGTGAGACCCCAAAACCCTGAACTTGGACTTTCTTCCATTTGGTGCCAGGCGGCTGTGATAGCTGCGAATTCTGCTGCCTTGGGAGTTGGGCAAAGTTGGTGCCGTTTTTCTGCTTGCAACATGAAGGACGACGCTCAAACTCCCTGGCGCTCAGAGTTCGGCGTGTTTGGCGTAGTGAGAACTCACTGCCCTGAGCTCAGCTCGGCGTGAGCTCCCAAAAGCCTGAGCACGGCTTGTGCGCTTGCCACCACAGCCTGATCAACGTCCACTTTTGCGAGGGTGGCTGAGATGACCGTGGCTTCGTTGTGCCAGCTCGCCCCGTGGCTCCAGCCAGTTCGGCCATGAAAATTGGGCTTTGATGTTGCGCATCCCCTATCGCTCCAGGAACCTGGGTGGCTTGCAGGCTTGATGTCAGACTCTGTGGGTGAGCCATGCATCCGGCTCTGCTCGAGGAAGTGCTGTCGAACTTGCCGCATAGAGCGTGCCGCAAGCAAATCTTGTGTGCCGACGTCATGGCACTGAGGGCAGGGCTTCATACCGCCAAAGTTCTCCACGCCCTGAGGCTTGTCCGGAGCGTGTTTGCGTGGCTTGTGCACGATCCGCTCCCTTTGCTTGCTCACTGGGATGTTTGCAGGCGACCCCGTGCCTGCCGTGCCTGCCGTGCCTCCCGTGCCTCCCGTGCCTCCCGTGCCTCCCGTGCCTGCGCGTGCGCGTTCTCACCGTTCGCATGTCCTGGGCGGCAGTCCGCGGGCCTTGGCCTAGAGCTTTGCGATTGGGCGGCTCCGGCACGGCCGCGAGACGCCTTGCCTGGATCCGCAAGGCTTCGAACCATGCGCGTGCTGTGTGCCTGTCTTGCCAAGCCAATTGATGGACGCTGCCGGAGTCCTGCCCACGTGTGACCGACATCCTTCACTAAGAGTACTCCACATGGATACCTAGCCAACTGAATCATGCAGGGAGGGCTGCCTGTTCCGTTCCCTTCACCCAGCACACAGTCGTTTTTGCATTCTGAGCAAGAACTGTGTGGGGGTGCGTTTGCATGCCTGGCACACTGGGGCTCTGAAGGACGTGTCGCAAGCCCATGGCACACGTGCTGCTTTCTGTGTGGCAACCTTGGCCAAGGCAGCTCATCGCCCAAGAAAAGCCGTCGCCCGGTGAGTCACTGAAGCCGAAGTGCCGCTGTGACGCAAAGTGATCGGGGCTTTCACTACGCATCGGCGCGGACCGGTACAACAGTGAAACTGAGGCGTGGTACGAAGCAAGTTTCGGGAAGGTTTGGCCTGCTGTGCAGATGCTGGAATGCCGCCTGCCACGCTGTCCCCTGATAGAGAAAGGGGGCTTTCGGGGCCAGTAGGGGCCAGCCTCGAACGGAACTTGGTGCTGGATGTGGGCTGTAGGACGTGTGAGCTGACGTTTATGCAATTTGCCGGGCAACTAGCGCTTGACTTCCGCGTTTGGGAGTGGGTTTGCCGAAACAGCAATGTTGAACACAGGCTCAAGCCGCCGTTTGTGCTTGAATGTAATCCTATCTCCAAATCTCAGCTGTTCCACAAAGGGCAGCCACTCCCGACAACCACAAACTTGCATTGGCAGTGCGCTTGGCTGGCAAGTGAAACACACATGGGATCCTTTTCCGCATCACAAGAGGTTCACGAGGCCGTTGCAGAACAAGTAATCTCTCAGCTTGTCCAGATGCTTGGCAGAGTGGTTAGGGCCAGCCTGCGGAATGTGTGCCTCACAGACCTTCAGCCGAGAAGCCGCTTGACGGCAACCTCGAGCGCTCGGACAGCGCGCTTGGCCGTTTCGTCAAGCCTGTCGTGTCCGAGCGCATGCAAGGTATCGCCCAGAAGCTTGTTGTATTTTGCATCGTTCCGGGCTGCCAAAGGACGCATTCTCTGCAATATTTCTTAAAGGCTTAAAGGGTTTGCAGTGCCATGCGCGGGAGAGGCAGCTACCTCACAAAGCTTACAAATCCATGCGCGCCACTTCTCCTAGCTTTTGTAAGAGAAATTGCTCGATCACTTCCGGCTCTCATGGACAAGCGCATCAGCTGCAAGTCGGAACTCAAACATGGAGGGCTGGAGGTCACCTCATTTGCTCAGAGCCTAGGCCTTTTGGCCAACCTCTCACACCGAAAGCCGAGCAAGCCGGGCCGTTGTGCGTGGCGGTGGCCGGGTACGTGCGGGGGCCTGCCCACTTTGCGGAGTTGGCCCAAGGCTTTTCCGGGCGCTGCCTGGTGGCCAACCCCGTGGAGGACGCGCTCCGCCACGGATGCCCGCTGTGGGTGTCCCTAGGCGCAGCGGGTGCTGCGGTGGTGCTCGGGCAGAGCTTCGGAGCACTGGTCGCCAGAAGCTTGGCATCACGTTGGGAGGCCATGGGGAGGGAGGTGCGGGGCATTGTGCTTTTTGACAGCCGCAACATTCCGCGATACCTGTGGCGGGGCGATGTCTGTCAAAGCGCCGTGCGGAACTTGCAGGCCGCCCACTTCAGGCTGCTGCAGGAGTTCCACTTCCAGGCTCCTTTCGCCCCACCGCACCACTCGGACATGGGTGCTGCAGCGCGCATCTTCACTGACAGCGCCCGATGCTGCCCAGAATCCGCACTGGAAACGGCTCGGCCCTGCGGGATGAGGTTGCAAGACACGGATCACTTCAACTTGCCATTTGCGCTTGCGTGGGATATTTCGAGCAAACTGGAGCAGCTGCTGAAGGATTTGTAGGCAAAGAGAGTGCAAGCAATCGTGGCGTTCCAGAACCTGCCTGCGAAAAGGTTCTACTTGCCCCAAGGTGCTGTCACCGCCATTTGTGCCAAGACATCAAACCCTGCTTGTGTGAAACAACGACAGCCGCTCTGAGATTATTTGCTTGCATGCAACATTGTGATTGTATCCAGGATGCTTGTGTGGATGAAAGCAAGTGTTAAAGATGCCTTGCCGGAATAGCGCATGTGATTTCGTGGCCATCCCTGAATGCACTCATTTCCAGAAGCTGCCAGCTGGGCTGAGTGAGGTGCGTGAGACAGCTAGCTAAGTTTTGAACACCATCGCTTTGACAAAATCCGCGTGGGGGATGATGACATCCCTGAGCTGGAGCAGCTGGAGTTAGCATTCGGGCAGCTTGACACCGAACCGCATTCCGATTTACTCGCAGAACATGCCGACCGATTGTCCTCGCAGGTTGGTAACCGAAGAGTGACCTTTTGGCGTGTGCTACAGCTTGCCAGGTGGCCCTTGACAGCAGGGGCCACTTTGCGCACGGTGCCTGCAAATCAGGTAACGTTGAGTTGTCAGCGGAGAGCCAAAATGAAAATGAAGCTGCACGGATGTCATTCCTCTGTGAGGTGAGGCTAGGATTTTAAGCCGAGCTGGTCAGTCCTTGTAACTCAACCAGGGACGAGGGCACTTGATGCTTTCCTGGTTTCCCTTTGGTTTCCCTCTCCCTCTTTTTTCCCCTCTGGTTTCCCGCTGGTTTCCGTGGTTTCCCTCTGGTTTCTGTGCTGTGCTTTGCGAGGCCTTTGGATCCGCAGCCTTGGCTCTTGGGGCGGGCGCGAGCTTCGAGCTTCGCGGCCATGGCGGAGCAGCTTGCGAGGAGGGGCCGTTTGAGCGTTTGGGGCGGTATGGGGCCGTATGGGCCGTAAGAAAATGATTTCTCTCTCGCTCTCTCTCTCTCTCTCTCTTTCCTGGCACCCTGCTTGTGAGAACACTGATTTCCCTTGCGGCCTTGTCTTTTTGTGTTTGACAGTGCCCAGGGGCATGTTCGGATACCTGGGCAAGCGGCTCCCGGGTGTTGCTTTCTGCCAGGATCTTCGGCACCGAGGAGGATCGTGTGAACTGCCCCTTTTACTTCAAGATTGGTGCTTGCCGCAATGGTGCTGCTGGCGTGTTGTTTTGCTTTGGAACTGCCTGTGCCGACTTGTCTGTTGATTTGACATGAGCTTGACAGGCGATCAGTGCAATCGCTTGCACAACCGGCCCACCATGAGTCAGACCCTCCTGCTCTCGCACATGTGCGCCTGCACCACTTTGAACGCGCGTAGGGGGTTGCTGAATCTTGGGCTTGACTGGCAAGGCACTGGTTGCGGATGCGCCTCCGCCAGGTATCCGAACACTCCTGAATCCTTGGCACTGGCCAACGACGAGCCGTGGGACGACGACATGCCCCCTGGGGATTCGCCAAAGTGACACATCCAACTCCCCTGCTCGTCCCATTGGAGGTACGACCGCGCACAGGCCCACCTGGAAGCTTTCTACGTGGAGGTCCGGGCCCCAGTGCCTCTCAAAAGGGCGACCGGTCGGAGTTTCGGGGTGCCTAAATGCCAAAAACCTTGAGGTGTTCCTGGAGTTGGCCAATTACGGAGAGATTGAGGTCTGGGTACCTCTGTAGACTCTGTGGCTGAGTTCTTCCATGGGCAGGACTTGGTCGTGGTCGATAATCTCTGCGATCACATGATCGGCAACGTCTATGTGCGCCCTCCGGGGATAGGAGTAGCGGGGTGGGACACAGTGGACCGGTGCCAAGACGGGCCTCGTGTTGGAGTGCTCTCCTTGAGGTGAAGTACTACCACGAGGAGGATGCAGAGAGGGCCTTGATGAAGCTCACAGGCTTGGCCAATATGCGTTGATGGGGCACTTGGGTAATTCAGTGAAGCAAGAGAGCACGTTTGCGAGAGCGAGCGCAGGCCGATTCTACAGTGGCAAGTTGATCCAGGCTGGTGCTCAGACCGCAAATGCTGGACTGCAGACTTGAGCTCCAAACAAACCAAATAGCCAAGTACTGTCTTTTTGACTCTCTCCCTGCACTTCAATCAACAGTCTCCTTTTCCTTGCTCTTCCTTGATTTTGTGCTCGAGGCCGAGTACACCACCGTCTCCGACTTCCGAGAGGCGCGCTGCCGTGCGCCGGGCCCTGATCGCTCGCGTCTCGTCTGAGCTCGCGCCTCACGGCCCCAAGGTTCCACGAGACCCGCTGCAATCGCGGAGCCTACTGCGGCCGGCCCAGCGAGCGGCGCGCGGGCGGGCGCAAGCGGGGAAACGCCGAAGGCACAGGGCACGAGAGAGACACTGAGGTAACTTCATGCACATCAAGCACATCCCTCGTGCGATTAAGCGACGCGTGGTGCGAGAGGCAGGAAGTCAATGCTTCGGCCTTTGAAACTTGGCATCACTTCATCATGTGTGATCAGCAGGCAACTTGCACGTGTTTGCCTTTCTTGCCTGTCAGATGTACGACGATCACCCCGAGTACCTGGGACAGACTGCAAAGAAGTCTAAGAAGGAGCAGAGCGAGTAGTTTCCCATTTTTCAGTCGTGGGGATATCCTTTTGGCTCGATGCGAGGACAAGGACAAGGATCGCGACCGCGACCGCGACCGCCGCAGCCGCTCCAGGCGCTGTGAGACGTCTGGATCTGTTGACCCCTTCGCTGGGAATGGGTCGGTTGGGCTTTGGAATTCTCTTGTCGACAGGCGCCGCGACAAGGAGAAGAAGGAGAAAGATCGCGGTGAGGCCTGACTTCCGTTCAAAACCAAAGAGCAACGTATGGAGGCCTAATAGCCCTTCAATACCCCCATGATCAGTTTATGGGTATGTGGCTGCCTGCTTGGAATGCCACAAAGTGGCCTGGTCCAAGTAGCCCATGAGCACCGGAGGACAAGCCGCCTGCTCGCCAGACTTCTGAGGAACGCGGCTGGCCCAGTGCATTTTGAGCGGAGTCCCGATACGAAGTGAATCCATCGAGGCCGTGCCATGATTGCTTCCTGGAATGCAGAGAAGGAAGGAGGAGTGGTAGCATGAGGCAGGAAGGGTCTTGTCTTTCGTTTGTTTGCGCGGTTCGCACCTCTCGGGGATATGGATTGATTTCACTGTGTAATCAACCTATCACTTTCACATGCCAGGTACCCAGCAGTGACAGGTGAGTAGAAGTCTCCTAGTCAGGCACTAATCCTTCGCTGGTTCCTTTGCCAGCGCTTTCCGAGTGGGACTGGGGATTTTGGCAAGCGGAACTTGCCCGCTGGTGGGTATGACTCATATGACCCGAATCCGCTGGCTGCCCCCGACGTCGGGGCTCGCACATCAGGAAGTTCGGGCTAGGATTTTGAGGGATTGGTTAGGGATCCTCATTGCAATCAAAGCATCAGACAAAGACGCCCAAAAATGATCAACTCCGACTCATGGCGCTTGATCAAGCCGATGATTTTGTATTAGTTGCATGGAGTCGGCTCGGAGGTTGCCGAAACCTCAGTGCAAAAAGATGCGATGCCTATGTCCAGCGGGGAAAAGCGACCGAGGGCTTCCTGTGCTGTGTGTGGCCTTGCTAACTACCCCGGTTTCGAGCTGACCTGATTTTCCAACACTAGTTGCAAGCAAACACAAGAGCTACAATCGAACTTCGCGTAGATGAATCAAGGTTTGTACGGTGCGGCCGGTAGACGTGTCGACAGCCCTGCTTGCCAAGGGAGCACCATCTCAGGCAGTCTTTTTCGAGCCAAGGCTTTGCAACTGGAATAGCGATCGCGCGTCGCTGCATCAATGACTAATGCAGCACGCTCCGCACTCTGCGCACGTGCCGAAGACCGCGTTTGACACAACAGCTTCAAGTGCCTCAATGTTCCGTGAAAGCAACGAGGTTCGATGTCAGTGCCCACATCGGTGCTCCACTGAAGCTTTGCGGAAACTAGAGGCAATTCACAGACCGTGCGCCGTGCTGCGCTTGCCATCGATTGGCCGGTGTGTCAGCCTCGATGCATCGGGTGCCAGTTGCCAGGCTCAATGTACTTGTAAAGCCTCAGAGCAAAGATCGGCGCACAGAGACCTGGTTCTCCAACATTTGCGCGCTGTATTCTTCCAACTTGAACATGGTGCTTTTTCCAAATTGAGCACTCAAATCAACGCCCACGTTTTGTTCCTTAAGCTTGCCCCGCCAGCCCGCAATTGAACCAGTTCAAGATAGAAGAGCTACTTGCGAATTCAATAACTTGATGCTGGCATGGAGACAAGAAACACGCATGTTCTGATTTGAGAGCAATTCGGATTGCTAGCGTGTACCAATTTCCGTACTGCTGCACTCGCAGTCGGTCGAGGAGGTTTCTTGAGTGGCCCAATTGATACACCAAACGCGCACAGCACACAAACACAAACACACTGACACACACAGACACACACAGACACACACAGACACACACACACACACACACACACACACAGACACACACACAGACACACACAGACACACACACACAGACACACACAGACACACACAGACACACACAGACACACACAGACACACACAGACACACACAG